TGAGACCTCGGTGTCCCGGGCTCACCGCAGTATAGCTGAGAGGTGAGAAGGTGCTTTAATACATTTTAGCAAACTACATATTGACAGTCTAAAATGCAAACCACTCCAGTGGCAGAGTGTGTAGTGCTGAAATGTGCATAGGGATTCTGTTACTACAAAAATGAATATTGAAAGAAGTCAAAAACTGGCTTTTACTAGATTCTAAGTTTATATTGTAGTGTTTTAATTTTGCATGTTTCTTGTTAGCTGTTAACACTACAACGTAATCCCTGCCTCGTTTTTGTCCTATGATCACGAACCAGGCCCCTTGTATTAAGTAGAAATATACTGTATGTTAATGACAACGCTTTTGGTTAAACAATTAACAATACAAGGTGTAATCAGTTCCACTGAAACTCAGTTGACTTAAAGGAATAGTTCATCATTTTGGGAAACATACTTCTTACAGAGAGTTAGGTAAGAATATTGATTTTACTCTCAGGTATGTCTCTTAATGTGCATCTACAGTCAGCAGCCAGTTTATGTAACAAGTAAAGTGAGCCCGCTGAGATGTTTCCACCTGCTCTCAGTCTTTGTGCTAAGCTAAGCTAACCATCTACTGGCCGTAGCTTCATAGTTAGTGTATCATCATCACCGTGGTATCAATCATCTCATCTAACTCCTGGCAAGAAGGTGATTAAGTATAATTCCCAGAATGTCAGACTATTCCTTTAACATTGCCATTGGCTTTGAGCTCCACCCTCAGTCGCCATGTTTTTGTTTCTCACAGTGCTGTGTTTACGTGGACCAACCTGCTGGTGGTGGTGTCAGAGCTGTGTGGTTCAGAGCAGGATGCACTGGACTTGGTGCCTCTGATCACCAATGTGGTCCTGGAGGAGCACCACCTGATCGTGGGTGTGGTGGTTATTGTGGACCCTGGGGTTATTCCCATCAACTCAAGGGGAGAGAAGCAACGCATGCACCTCCGTGACTCTTTCCTCGCTGACCAGCTGGATCCTATCTATGTTGCTTACAACATGTGAGGGGTTGTGGTGATTTGGGCTTGTTTAGCCATCATACACAGCCTGGGTGTGTCCCTGCATCATCACCCCAGCATTCGATTACTGGCTCAGCAGATAGTGAAACAAAAAAGTATGAACTATGTGTGCTGCCGCCCAGCCCCATGTGACACCAGCATATCTTGGCCACTGCATGTCTGTGATTAGACCTGCCGTGTTTGGAGTTGCGCACTGTGTTTTATAGATAGATAATTTTGCAAATGGCAGAGGAGCAACATGTGGT